CTCCTGCTGATCTGAGGAAATGGGTCTGGGGGCAACCAAATCCCGGACGAGCCCCCAAATGTAGGACCCCCCCCCAGACTGGGGTACCCAATGTCCACGGGAGGCCGCACCCCAATAACTCAGTCCTCAGACCAGGAGATGCAACAAGCAAGAGGATTTAATTGTTTGCGCAGACGGGCTCCTGCCTCACTCGGAGGGAGACAGAGAACAGCAACCCCGAGCTCAGCTTACAGGTGACTTTAAAGGCAAAAACCACAAACCACAACTGGCAGCAGTGGGAGGGGGCCAGCAGCAGTAGGAGGGGGGAAGTTTCGGATGATGTCCGGCTTGTGTACGGAGCATGAAAAGGCCAGCTCTTTCTCAGCAGTTAGAATTTTACATCTTCCTTCCTTGTACAGTTTCCCAGAATATTCTTCTTTGGTCTGGGGGATTTGGTTTGAATCCACTTTAACCTGGGGGGCTTTAGTTTGATTCCATCACTTTTTAGATAAGAACAATAGTGGCTTGTCTTTCTTGGCTTGCAGATAGGCACTGCAGTGTTGAACTAGGCCAAGATCTGAAGTCTCATATCAGAGTGGCATTTTTATTATCAAGGTGAAAAATTACTCATATCAACTTTTAAGTCTAATATCTGAGAAGTACAATTTCTCCGACTTTAAAAGAAATATACTGATCATTTTATTCTGTGGTTATACTTTCCTTTTGGGTGTTTAAGACCATAGAGTTGACCCAAATTAACCAAGATTTTTTTCTTTTTCTGAAGATCTGATCCTTGGAGCTCATTCAGGCTTTGGGGAGAGCCCCTGGCTCCTTTGGCTTTCCTTTTACCAATTCAGTCTAGGTGAGTGTTGGGGATCTCTGTTGTGTAAAGTAGAAGTTTCTTCATGTCTGGATAGCTCACGAGCTCAGAACCATATGCAGAGACTCCTTTCACAGCAGGGTGTCTCCCCGGCATTTTTCTGACTCCTTTGTGAAGTAGCAGCCACAGGAATGTAGCCTCCAGCTCTGTAACTATTAGGCTTTCCTGTGTGATTTTCAAGCAGTTTGGCAGCCTGGCGGGAACCCATTTCCACACGCAAATGAGGCATCCCCAAAGTACCTATCAGCTAAAGCCTTTTACCACCACCTCCGCAGTATAAGTTTCTATTCCCCTCAGTAATTGAAGGAGCTGGATCACTCTGGGACACTGAGGCTTGGAGCCACGCAGAGCCATTGAATAAAGAGCTGTAACACTGAGTCTGACTGAGCTGAGTCTTGTCTCACTGCCTACGATCCAGCCTTCCCGGGAAGAGCTGTCTTTCCGTCACCGACTCACGGATCCCAGCTTTAGCCGCCCTCACACTCTCCCGCGTGATCCAGCGGCCGGTGGATTTCGCATCTTGAGAAAAGTGCACAGGTAAAATTAGGGTGGGACTCAGCTGGGCAAAGCCAGCCACAGAAGACGCAGGGAAGCAGCACAGGAGCAGATACCCACACACCCCACACCTTGCACCCAGCGCGCCCCATATCTGGTGCCACAACGTGGGAACCTCTGAACCTCGTGCCAGCTAGGAGCTGGTACCCTCAGAAATGCAGGATTCGTGAGTACCTCTCCCACCAGGAGAGAAGCAAAAATCTCTTCTAAATTTCCTCCTTTTGTTTCCGGTCTGAAGTCTTAGCGTGGGACCGCTAGGGACAGAGAGACAACTGACGCTTCCTGGCCAGGGCTACTCCCTGGTGTTAGCCGAAGGTTTCTTTGACCCCCTAACGGACCCCGACTCCCTGTACAGGTGTAGACAAAAGACCTCTATCTTTATATCTTTCTAATATCAAAACCTGGTGACACAACGGCCAGTTAAAAGTCACAAGGACGGCCGCCAGTTCCTCAAATTTGCGGGCAAGGCCTGTGCTGGGAACCAAACAAAATCACCTGAAATTTTAATTTCAGGAATGTTCCTTTGGGAACCATCACTTCACCCAACTTTTCTATCTGAACACTGTTAGAAAAATCTCCAAAGTTT